TCGCCCGGCTTGTGCCCTGCCCAGAGGCGGAATTGGGTTTCGGTGGGGGCATTTTTTGTCAATTTTTTCATACTACGGAAATCACCTAGGCGGGCGCCCAGCGCCTAGCCCCTAGGGCCTATGCCCCGGCCAGAGGCGGAAATGGGTTTCGATGAGGGCATTTTTTATCCATTTTTTTATACTAAAGAGCCAAAAATTGGGATTTTAGGTTTATTTGAAACTGGGTTTTGATGGGTAGACTGGATAATGATGTATCTCACATCCAGTGGGAAAATATAGCAAGCTGAATGATCGCAAGGTAGACCATTCACGATTTTGAAGAAGATGAGCATCAATGCTTACAAGGTCGCTTTGCCTTCTCACATAGAGACTTTAAACATCCTCAACATTACTAATGTGTCAAAGAATCATGGTATGGAAGTGCATGAAGATGAAGATGTGAACTCGAGGACAAGTTCTCCCCAACTCGGGAGAAATGATAGAGACCTAAGCACACCAATTAGCCACAAGTATCTTCTTTTGGAGCGACAAATTCATCATAATTTTTACTTATATTTGGAGGATGAAAACTCTAGGATGGTTTCCATAAAGAACAAGAAGAGCAAGAAATAGTTTGGGTGTATTTTTTTTTTTAAGTTTTTGAGGCTATTTCAGAATTTTTTTTTTTTTATTTCATTGTTGGACCAATTATAGACTTTTTAGATATTTTAATTAAAGTTATAGAGTTTAGCTTTAAGTTATACTTAAGTTAGGACCTTTGGTCAAAAGTTATTTGTATGAACAAATATTGTCAAAAATAGTAATTTTTAATATAAATTAGAGCATATATGGGCCGGAGAGTCATTCATGTATTCATCTTTAAGAAAATAAAGATTTGTCTTGTAAAAAAAGCCTAAGGCTTGAGCTTTGTGTAGGAGAAATCCTTAGGGTTTTTAAAAAATTGCTCTAGGTGTAGGGTTTCTCTCAAAGTGCTTGTGTCAAGGCGCTTATTATTAATTTTCTATGTTTTTTCAAGTTCTCCTATATCACATCTCTAGAATATATTCTAGAATAGAATTTGAATGTCTCTTTAATTTATTTTTTTCTATATTCTATAAATTACTAGAACAATATTTTTTACTTTAATTTCTTTTTTAAGAGACAAACTTTGTAGAATGCCTGAGTCTGCATCAGACTATGATTTCTTATTTCTTTTATTTTTTCATTATCATTACCATCATACTATGACCTCTGATTTCTTTTCTTTTATCATTATCATTACAATTACATTCATTATTAGGGTGTGGTTTGTATAATGTTGCAACCCTAAACAATCAAATTAAGGCACACCTCCAAATTTTATTATAAATATAATTTTGGTTTAAAAAATTCTCAGGCTGTCTTGAAAATCTATTTTTATCTCTAATTATAAAATGTTAAACTTCAAAAATGGTTCAAATTAATTAGATATTTAAACACTTGAAAATTTTGAAAATTGACGGTCCAAATAATGTGTTGCAAGATAAACCATTTTTTAGACTAGAAATCTTTTTTTCCTTTCATATTCATACATCTCGATGTCGAGATGATAAATTATAGGGTTTTCTAACATCAAAACAATATTTAATGGTAGATTTTTTAGGTACACTTTCATTCTACATTTTAGGTTGCTACCTTATATAAACTTTTCCTTATTTGAATAAGAATATAGAAAATGAAGAGTAGTGGGGGACAGAGAAAAGGAGCATCAAAATCTCAAATTTAGACTTGCATTCAAAGGAGTATTTTAGAGAGAGAGGCAGATGCCATAATAAGAGCAAAGCATCAGATAGGCAAATGCTATAATTAGAGGAAAACATCACTTTTAATAAGCTATAATAAGAGGAAAGCATCACTTTTAATACCACATCTGAGCCACCTAATACAACAGAGCGCTTTAAAGGATCATCGTTTTCGACGTGCCGAGCTTGGTAACGTGATCTTGCAACTCAAGTGAGGGCGCAGAAAGTGGGTGGACTATCTCTCGGTGTCCTTCAAGCATGCTTGATCTAATGTGCCCTCTCCAAAGCCAGGAGTTCACCGTGCCCTTTAGCCGAACCCCTTTAACCGAAAGGTTGGGTGGGCACGGACCTGGAGTGGAAGAGAACGCGTAAGGCTGGCTTTGCAGAGCAGCGGTTACCTCTCGCTTTTGACAATCGGAAAGGGTTCCATTCCCACATAGAGAGCCCTTTTTGCTATTCCCCGTAATCTCTAGGGTTGCTATTTTTATATTATTTTTTCTCGTCCTTTATTGGTGCCATTTTTCCAACTCCAAAAGTTTGTTTTAAAATTGAGAAATACCATTTTTCCTCTTTCTTTATGGTTGCCATTTTTCTCTCTCCAAAAGTTTGTTTTAAAATCGAGAATGGTAGCACCACTTCACGCTTCCATTCTCAACTAGCGTACTAAAAAGTCAGTCATCTCCACTGAGTTACCAAAAAAAAAAAGTTTTTGTTTTAAAATTGTTCTTCTTTTTTTTTGATCTACTTTTTAGGTTTCTTTTATTACATTGTCGTTGTCAAATTTTCAATTTTCTTAATGAAATTTGCTATACTTTTTTTTAAGGGTGCAGTTTGTATAGGGTCGAGGCTCTAAACCATCAAAATAAAGTGCACCTTCACTTTCAAATAGTATCGAAAAATGTGGTTTTAATATTGAAAATCTTAGTGATAGCCTTAAAATATATTTTTATATTTAATTATAAAATTTAAAGCATCAAAAGTAGAATTTATCGAGCAGATCCATTAAAACTTTAAAATCTTAAAAATTAAAAGGGAAAAATATGTGTTACAAGATGCACTATTTCTAAAATTTTGAAATCTATTTTTTTCTTTCATGTCCTGTCAAGATATCAATTTGATTGTTTAGAGTCTCCGGTCCCTATAAACTTTTTCCTTTTCTTATGCTGCATTCCAATTTTTGTTTTGGGACTTAAATTCCCTTGATCTTACCATTTCTTCTTTTCTTCTCTTGTTTTGTGAGACGGGGATGAGCAGGGCTGCCTCCAGGCAAGTGCAGAAGAGGATACTAACGCTACTGCATGGGCGAAACACACGAACCCATCTCTCACAGATCCATGCACATATCATTAGGCACAACCTCCAATACTTCAACCTCATTCTCTCTCACTTCGTACCAGCCTGTGCCTCCTCTTCAAAAATGTCTTATGCTCGCCAAATGTTCGACCAAGTCCAAAACCCAAATATCTATCTCTTCAACTCCATGTTCAGGGGCTACTTCCAGTCAGGCTCTTGCAAAGAGGCTCTCTCTCTCTACAATTATATGCTACTAAGAGGTGTATGCCCTGATGCGTTCACATTCCCACCTTTGCTCAGGGTTTCTCTCTCTTCTCTCAAGTTGGGTTCTCAAATCCATGGCCAAATTTTGAGAATTGGGTTCGAGAAAGATGGTTCTGTTGGAATAGGGCTAGTTGAGTTATATGCGACTAGGGGTTCGATCAATGATGCTCATAAAATGTTCAATGAAATTGAGCAAAGAGATGTTGTGGCCTATAATATGATGATATGTAGGTATTGCAGAGAAGGAGATTTAAGCTGTGCCTTTGCTTTGTTTGATGAGTTAGGAGAGAGAAAGACTGTGGTTTCATGGAATGCGATCATCGGGGGTTATGCGCAGAGGGGCCGGCATATGGAAGCTCTAGAGATTTTTAGAGAGATGTTTGAGAATGGCAATGTTAGGCCCGACAATGCGACAATCGTGACTGTTTTGCCAGTCTGTGCTCACTTGGGTTCTCTAGATGTCGGGAGATCGATTCATAATTATGCCAAAACCCATGATCTCATGGATGTTGTTAACGTATCCAATGCTCTTATTGATTTATATGCAAAATGTGGGGACTTGTCTAGCTCTAGAGTCATTTTCGATGAAATGCCCAAGAGGAATGTGGTCTCTTGGAACGCAATGATCTCGGGGCTTGCTGTTAATGGACATGCCAAGGATGCAATTTCTTTGTTTGAGGAGATGAAGAGGGAGAAAATTGAACCAAACGAGGTCACTTTTATTGCGCTTTTAAATGGTTGCACTCATGCAGGGATGGTGCAGACAGGTCGGATATTGTTTACAACCATGCTTAAGGACCATGGGATTGAGCCCAAGGTTGAGCATTATGGGTGCATGGTTGATCTTTTAGGGCGATCTGGGTTTGTAGAGGAGGCTCATGAGCTCATTAAAGCCATGCCCATGAAGCCAAATGCTGCCATTTTTGGTGCATTTCTAAGTGCTTGTAGAATTCATGGACAGCTGAGCCTTGCAGAATATGCAGCTAAGAAACTAGTTGAAATTGAGCATTGGAATCCAGGGAATTATGTTTTGTTATCGAACGTGTATGCGGGGGCAGGGAAATGGGACGAGGTAGAGAAGGTGAGAGAAATGATGAGGGACAGAAGGGTGCAAAAGGCGCCTGGTTGGAGCCTGATTGAGGTCAATGGTGAAGGTCTTTGAAAGACGCAAGTTTGGAAATTTCTTTGGTATTTTCTCTGGTTAATAGAGGATTCGAGACACTAAATTCTAAATTCTCTGTATAGTACTTGTAATGTGCTTTGTACAATCTATGAAACCCAGAGAAAATTACATTCACGCAACCAGAAAATCAAGATTATAGTAATAAAATTGATTAAACAAAGTTCTTTCTGAATAGGAATAGAATTACAAAATATTTTAAAGGAACATAAGGCACATAAACAATGGATCATGTTTGGAAGTTCTCCATTAGACCATGCCCTAATAGTCTAACTTAGATATTAATAACAAAATTGTTTGACCTCCCACATCCACTTGCATTTAGAAGAGCAACATCCATCCACTACTTGATCCCATCCCATGAGTCTCGGATTTGTGCACTTCTTATTGTTGCATTTTGCTGGTTTGAATGGCAGCTTATTGTGGACCCATATCATTTTAAGAATGGACTTGGTGCTACTTAGACAAAATGAAAGAGAGAGCTCGATCCATGGAATGAAAGGGAGAGCTCAATCTTTTCCATGGATTGTGTACCTTCCAAAAATTTTCCCTCACAAGATCGAGGCCGATGCATAAGCAGATTCTGGGTGACCCATTTTCATTGCTTTCATCAGCTATAGCTCACATTCATCCTTTTTCTTGGAGCTAAAAATCTTCCACTACAAAAACACAGAAATATACATTTCTTTTAGCTTTTGAGGAATATTTAAGCTAAAAATCTTCTACTACAAAAACACAGAAATATACATTTCTTTTAGCTTTTGAGGAATATTTAAGAAATGTATTTAGAATAAAAACAAGCAATTCATAAATATAAATATGAAGTTTTGTTAGATGAGTTCAACTCGTAAACTTATTCGTCCAATGACTTTTACTCAAAGGTAAAAACTAGAAATACCTTAAAGGCCACTTGCATTTTCATTGTAGTACAACAATATTGTAATTCCATCTTCATTTTGATTCAACAATCTTGTACTCATACTGTTGTAAAAATAATTCACCAATAATTCCATCTTCATTTTAATTCAACAATATTGTACACATATTGTCATAAAGGTAATTCACCGAAAAAGAACTCTATACTGTTGTAAAAGTAATTCACCAAAAAAAAATCTAGTTATAATTTTATCACCGTGCATTCAATTATCGGACGGGTAAGAGAGAGTGATCCATCAATAAGACACAACCCTTATGGTGAATCACACCCTGTCTCTGTCTCTACTATGAAGGTTATGATGTATACCATTGATCATGAATTTCCTGAGTCATAAGGACTATGGTTGACCTTCAATCCTCATGGCGCAAAGGATTTTATTTTCTTATTCATGTTGCAAAATCGGGACTCGTTACTCGTCTAACTCGCCAGAGTCAGACATGCATATGCGTTTCCGCGTTTAACCGAGTTACTTGGCCCTACCTAATCTGAGTAGCTGGATACAATTAGGGCATATTTAAAAATAAAATAGACAAATAAATTATTTGTGAGGATAAATGTAAAGCAATTATATATGCAATTTCGATGTTTTTATAAAGTTACAACTTTAAAATATAGAATTAACTTGCAAATTAAAAATTTCATTGAAAAAGCTTGTTTTGATGTTGAAAAATTCTCTAATTGATCATCATGTCATCGAGATATATAAATAAGAAAACAAGAAAAGATATCAAGGCCTAGAAAGTGTGTATCTTACAACACATTATTTGGATCGTCTATTTTCAAGATTTTCATGTGTTTATAGATCTGCTTGATTTGAACTATTTTTAAAGTTTAAAGAGTTGAAAATGGATTAATAGGCCATCCAAAGATTTTTTGACACCAAAATTATATATTACGATAAAATTTGGAGGTGCACCTTACTTTGATTGTTTATATTTTCTTTTTCTTTTTTTTTTGGTTTGTTTGAAATGTGTGTATCCGTAAACTTATTTTTCTTAATATATATTTTTTATTTTTTATTATTTAACTTTTGATATTGTTTTTTGTTTTATTTTATTTGTACCAATTTTTATTTTATTTCTAATATTTTTTTTTTCTTTAAATTTTTTTTTTATGGATTTTTATCCCGGTGGATTACTCGAGACCGGGTTACTCATGGTCGGACCAAAGTCAAGTCAGAGGCCTGAGCCAGAGTTTAAAAACAATGATGCATGACAATCAGAAAGATTGATGCACGACAACTCATCTCCACCATCATTGATTAGAAGGGATGGTGGATATAATCTATACACCCTAAACGTAAATAATGCTATTTCTCAAGGCAAACCTACGAGCTTGGGTTTCTAGCCGAAAAAAAAAAAAACCTTACGCACGAGGAGAGAGAGAGGATTTATCCAAATCATATAAAGAGATAGGATTCACAAGGAGAGAGAGAAGTGACGAATTTGTGACCATGGGTTTTATATTGTAATATGGTACCCTTTTTTTTTTTTTTCTTTTTAATTTGAAAAAAAAACTTTCTTTTTTTGGATAAATATTAAAAAGCAACTCAACATAGAGTTATGGAAATAACTGCAGTTAACGACTATTGTTTCATGTGAAATCCAGGAGAGGTATAGCATTATGAGAGCAAACCAAACCAAACCAAGAACCTCGAAATATACTAAGAAGCATGAAATAAACCATGAAACTCAAAACTAAAACAAAAGGAACCATGAATCTAAACCAAGAAGCATGAAAAAACCAAATAAAGATCGACCATGCATCTAAATCAAGAACCATGGAAAAACTAAATTTAACTAGAGCATGAGACTATACCTTGAACCATGAAATAAACCATGAAACCTCAAACTAAATGATGAATCTAAACCAAAAAATTTTTTATGTGAAATTTAGGGAGAGAGATTACCATTCGGTATTGAGCTTCAGGATTTCCTGTATCTACATATCGTTTGATGTAAGACGTAGGATTTGTCTGGTTTTTATGCCATAAACTTTCAAGAATTAGCTCTCTTGAAACAACGTTGCATAACCAAAGGATCTTTCGAGAGGTTCTTAACCCCTTACACCTAAAAACAAGAATAAAAATCATACAACTACTCAACGAACGAATTCAGCCGGAGGAAGGCGGAAAGGAAAAATATACAAGATTTACATAAAAAATTTAGAGAGAAAAAACTCACCTATTCTTCACACCTTGAGTCCCTCAAACGACTCAGATTTTGCCATGATCTCAGCGACCATTTCATCTGGAAGACGATCGGAACATTCCTTCCTCTCCATGCCCATGATGCAACAACGAGTTCTTGAAAATACGTAAAAAAACTTTATTTAACAAAATCAACCAGTTTTCAACGGGCCGGTTCACGCTCTCTTTCTTTCTCTCTACAAATTCTCTTTGATGGCCTGGTTGCCCACTCTCTTTTTCTCTCTCTAAAGTGGCTTTCTCACCTGTAACTAGTTTTCTCTCTCTATCTCGACTATTGCCCAAATCTCACGTAGCAATTCTTTCGTCCAGAACAACTTTCTTATCATGTATTTATAGAGATTTGGCTTTCCTAATCCTAGTTGCACTAACTCATCCACATCTTAATCGCGATGGATTCTTATTTTGACATATGGACTTGTAACCCAACCACATGATACCCTATCTATGATAACGATAAATCTCTAATTAGATGACTCACTTTAATCCCAGATAATTTTTTAATTTTTAAATCCTACTGCATATATTTTGAAAACTGACGTAATTTCAATCAAAATCTTTGAAAGATAATTTATTCTCACATCAACGTTTCTTAACAAATAATGTTTCTTTCCATGTATAGGATAAAAACAAATTCTCAAATAATTGCTTTTTATTTTTAATGATGGCCTTTTATCTAGATATTATATTGATACAAACGATAAACATTGATTCTAAAAAATCTTTTTTCTTGCTCAACTATATTACATCTCAAGTCTCAACAAAGAGTTTAATAGGAGTCTCTTTTTATATAGCCCTAATAAATATTTTTCTACACAAGGATAGGATTCTCTTTTATTACAAAATAAAAAAAATATGATACTTTCTTTTTTGAATTTTTAAATTTCGCAATGACCGAGATAAGGCTTTATGCAAATACAAACTAACAAAAAGATATTTTATTTTTATTGTTATTCTCAAATACGAATAAATAATATGGCATTTACATTTTTATTTCATGAATTCCATTTTTGAAAAATTTAAAAGTTATTTTAAGAATAATTTACAATCCACAATAGTTTCCAATGTTAATATTTTTAACTTGTTCATTACAGACTTTTGTTATTTAAAATCATTTCGTTTAAATTTTAATAGTGACTTGGAATTTTTCTTACCGAGTCCTAATGATAATAGATATGGTTTCCATTCATATATAGATGAAGATAAATTTAATTTTTTGAATTTCTTCCTAACTGTGGTTTGGATTACGAGTCCTTGCGTCAAATAAGAATTAACTACCGTTAAAATGAGGATGAGTTAGTAGTACAACTAAGATTAGGAAAGCCGAAGCTCTATATAAACTAGTGAAGCGGTTTTATTGGCTTAACTGGTAATCCAGCTGATTCAACCGCTCAAACCGCGCAAGTCACACGGGCTGAAAAAAAAATGTGTTGAAAAAAAATAAAAAATAAAAACAAATAAAATCTACTAAAATTTTAAAAGCATATAAAGAATGATTAAAATAAAACATATTCGAATGAAGATGAAAATTAATGAAAAAAATGGATTTTAACCCATTTTATATTTTCTAATGGCTATTTTTTAAATTTTCTAAAAAAGATGGGAAAATATAAAAGTGAATATTAATGACCAAAACAATTTTAATCTTTACCATAATGTAAAGAATATTTAAAAATTCATTACAAATCAAATTCTTTATTTTTGAAAATTTATATACATTTTTTTGAATATATATATTTTTTAATATACCGATTAATCACCCAAACCGCCTAAAACCTCAATCTGACCGGGCGGTCAGCGGTTAGATTGGACGATTTTACGAACAATAATATAAACAGCTGATAAGAAAGATGGTCGGGACAAAAGAGTCGTAAGAATCATGAGAGAGAAAATTATAGAGAGGACACGAATTTATAGAGAGAGAAAGAGAGCGTCAACCAGCAAACTTTCAACAAATTTGTTATTGCCTGCCAA